TCCCAGGGGTTCCCTAAAAAATGACAATTTGGTCAAGCCGTTTACATAATATCTTTTCCATCCCTTTACATCATATCTTTTTTACATCTTATCTCATAAATCCCTTTATATTCTATCATATCCATTCCTTTACATATTATCTTCATATCATATCTTACTTCCTATTTTATTTTGTATGTGTGGTTTAAAATAAATAACCGTAGAAGAATCTAGTTCCAGTATATGCATGGTAGCGGGGTTCAAGAAAAGAAAAAGAGAATTTCTGAACTATTAAAGTTTAGTTAATTTATTTATGATAGAAAATTACAGTAGCTTGAATATTAATCAAAATATAAATCATTAAAGGGATTATTCTCTCATTTTCAAATAAATTTAGATAACAATGAGTCAAGGTTTTGCTTTCACAATAAAAATCACAATAAAAAGTTCTGTTCAGTTGTAATAAATTCATTCATAACTTATAAAAATGCTGATGAGAAACCATAACATGCTGAGGGTATAAAATTGAATGAGTTTGCGACTAGTCGGACACTCTTTTTAATCCTAATGGACGTACATCATGTTCCTGAAATTAGTCAGCAACTTCTGAAAACAAGATCTCAGTTCCTTCACTATACTTGTATTAAGCTTTTTATAATATTCGAGTCATTACTCGGAAAATATGTATGAAATAATACAAAAATTCAAAAAAAAGCAGACCACCTTTCTGAAATCTCAGAGAAAAATTTAATATATTACTGAGACGAAAGAAAAAAGTTAAAACAAGTGAACATTCCTTTAGAATTACATAAAAAACTTATACATGTTAAATGAAATAAAATTCTTTAAGATTATAAAATACAAAATACCGAAAGCTTATTAAATAAAAATAAACTCCATACATTGCATGTGCTTAATGTATGGAGAAGAATGAATTCAAATAGAGGTTGCAAAGCCAGTCCATGCACCATAGCATGTTTATCTGCGTCGGCGCGTGTACACTGTATAGTTTTACATTTGTTTATGTACCGTTCTTTCTGTATAGATACCCATGCGACGCGACGCGACGAATCGTTCAGCAGCCAATGTATCCGGACCTGATGTACAGTATATTTGTCCATGAACTGGTTGTACTGCACAGCTACCCATGTGCCGACGTACCGTAACGGTTTAGCTGCGCGTGTACACTGTACAGTTTTTCAGTTGTTATGTACCGTTCTTTCTGTATAGATACCCATGAATCGTGCGACACGACGTATCGTTCAGCAGCCAATGTACCGGACCTGATGTACAGTATATTTGTCCATGAACTGGTTGTACCATACAGCTACCCATGTGCCGACGTACCGTAAAGCTGCAGATGCATCTTTTTACACCACACAGTTACCAAAACCAGTCCCTATTATACAACTGGAACTGTATCGGCCATACCCAACAGCTGTTAATGTACTAGAGACCGTACAGCTGCCCATGTAACCGTCGTACAGTACAGCTTCCCGTGCACATGTCCTTACACCGTACAAAGAGCAATGAATGAAAATATCTACATTGCACGGTTTATATTTCGTGCGATAAATTCTCTTTATGTCATGGTTAGAAGGAATTAGAGTGTGGATCACGCGTTCAGTTCGTTCAGTGAAATGACATGATTTATGTCTTGATAATTTAACCTTCAAATAGTGTTCTTCCTGTATCATTTATAAACATACTTCAATTCAAGTTCCTCTCATCTCTTCTCATCTTCTTCTACTTAGGCAACGTTTGACAACCCAACCCTGACTGCATTCTTTCTCCAACCCAATTACAACTGTAGAATAAGGAAAATACTATCAAGTGTAGATTAAGTAGAATTTTAGCTATCAAGTGTAGATTAAGTAGAATACTAATTATCAAGTGTAGATTAAGTAGAATACTAGTTATTAAGTGTAGATTAAGTAGAATACTAATTATCAGGTGTAGATTAAGTAGAAGATTAAGCATCAAGCATAGATTAAGTAGAATACTAGTTATCAAGTGTAGATTAAGTAGAATACTAGTTATCAAGTGTAGATTAAGTAGAATACTAATTATCAAGTGTAGATTAAGTAGAATACTAGTTACTAAGCTTAGATTAAGTAGAATATTAATTATCAGGTGTTGATTAAGTAGAAGATTAAGTATCAATTGTAGATTTAAGAGAATACTAATTATCTAGTTTAGATTAAGTAGAATACTAGATATAAAGTTTAGAATAAGTAGAATACTAGATATCAAGTTTAGAATAAGTAGAATACTAGTTATCAAGTTTAGAATAAGTAGAATACTAGTTATCAAGTTTAGAATAAGTAAAATACTAGTTATCAAGTTTAGAATAAGTAGAATACTAGTTATCAAGTTTAGAATAAGTAGATTACTAGTCATCAAGTTTAGAATAAGTAGAATACTAGATCAAGTTTAGAATAAGTAGAATACTAGATTTAAAGTTTAAAATAAGTAGAATACTAGATTTAAAGTTTAGAATAAGTAGAATACTAGATATCAAGTTTAGAATAAGTAGAATTCTAGATATCAAGTTTAGAATAAGTAGAATTCTAGATATCAAGTATAGATTAAGTAGAATACTATATATCAAGTTTAGAATAAGTAGAATACTAGATATCAAGTTTAGAATAACTAGAATTCTAGATATCAAGTTTAGATTAAGTAGAATACTAGATATAAAGTTTAGAATAAGTAGAATACTAGTTATCAAGTTTAAAATGAGCAGAATTCTAGTTATCAAGTTTAGAATAAGTAGAATTCTAGTTATTCTAGTTATCAAGTTTAGAATAAGTAGAATACTAGATATCAAGTTTAGAATAAGTAGAATACTAGTTATCAAGCTTAGAATAAACAGAATACTAGTTATCAAGTTTAGAATAAGTAGAAAACTAGATATCAAGTTTAGAATAAGTAGAATACTAGTTTTCAAATATAAAATAAGAAACAAATTCGTTGTAGAATGTAGATATTTATGTAAACGCCCTGAGTTTCCTCTGCTCTACTAATAATTCGTCCATGCATGTCCTAACCCCGGGTTTATCTCTCAGTTGCATTATACGACTCGGAGTGCGTGAGACGTGAATATAGTTTCTCCTCATCTCATGGTTTACATGTGTACTTTCCCTCTTCTCTCCTCCTGTAATTGCAATCCATACTTAATTAATTTTATGAAAAAATATCTTTAAAAATTTATATAATTCAAATATTTCTATATATTGTTTCCTCATTCAAATATTTCTTCAGTACATCCTTTTTCATTTATTTTTATAGTGTGTCCTAACTCACAAATTTATTTTTTTATTAGGTCTCTAAATTAACTTTTTTTTGGCTCACATATTTATGTTATTTGACGAAATTTATTATTTTTCTGTTCAGGGTCTAAATTATCTCGTGATTCTTGAATTATATTACGGCATTATTTCGCGAACCTGAGCTAGTTTACAAGTATAATTCTAAAAACAATAATCTGCAATATATTTGTTTCTAAGAAAAGAGGCTAGAAGCCCCTACAAGTACTTTTTCAAAATTAAGACTGTTTAATTCAATACATAAAACCATAATTGCCTGAATATACAATTTATAAAGATCATAATGGTAGACCATGTTTTTGAGAAGCTTTTAGGTCTTACGACCTTTGTTTGATTAATTCTTTGTCGTAAAAACCTTTCTAATATCAAAGTTGATCTTTTAGCCGTCGTCTTCATCTAGGATCGTCATTTAATTATCATGTTTAGTGTGATCTAATCATAGATATATCAAATCGAAAGTACAGAATATCCGATGGAAACCATTCGCACTGCTATGATAAATAAACGGTTTTGGGGTTGTTTGTTTACAACTGGATTTTAAAACATTTACTTTCATTTCTTACTCTTTAGTTACATGAAGCTTTTGTTTATATTTGCTGTCTGTACTGTTGATTTGGTGTCCCTGTGTCCAATCAACGTAATTTCATATACAGGGTTAACCACAAAGGATGAGACTGTAAAGACGACTTGAAACTTATACAATATGACAATCCTACGGTTAAATTTAGTATTCTACCTTGAATATTTTGTTTTAATGAATAATGATTATGGTCCTAATATACATATTTTATAAACTTTCTTAAAGGGAGTGTTCGCGAAAAATAAGAGGGTATAGGCTGATCCCGAATGAAATTCGTTTTAGATTGCTATTAATTCTACTTGTATAGGTTGTGTATATAGGGAAAAATTGGTTATAAATGCCTTATACCCAAGAGACTAGAACTCACATAAATAAATCGTAATTGAGTTGATTAAATTTAAAACTATTCAGTCAGATATTACAAGTTATAAATGTCGAATTCATATATAGTAGAAATATCATAATTTGTATTATTTTTTATATATGATGTACTTTGGACAAAAATTATTTGGCCATCAAGTGTCACAAGCTCTCGATATTTCAGGGATCATCCTTTACCCCCTTTCATTTTCCGTGAACACTCCCTTTAATCTTAATATATTTTTGGTACTTGTTTTTATGTTTCTATCTCCACCTTCAATTCTTTCTTCCGCCATGTTGCGGCTTTGAATCTACAGAGCTTGAAGATTTAACATTATTCATTGAATATTCATCCACACTTTTCCAGGACGGGAATTGGAGAAGGTGGCATTTAAAAAGGGACAATTGAGCCCCTTGAAAAAACATGGCTTTGCTTCAATATAAATATTTCAATCCATAAATATTTTGTGTAAAAGATAATTACTCAAGCATAAAATGTCAAGGTAAAAAGGTGAAATAGAAAAAAACTTTTTTTCAAGGAAATATATTTTTTATGAATTTCCCAAGCTTTGCAAAAATGAAAAATGGGACTTTCCTCTTTCTAAAATAGTTCCCACAAAATATTTTATCGTCCCACTAAGTTGAAATTTAGAGCTTGAAAACTTTAAAAATGTCTTCCAAAACATATTTCTAAGCATTTAGGGGGTTGGGTTGATATAGAAGAAAGTTTATCTCCTGCTTTTTTCAGAATGTTTTTGGAAAATGATGAGACAAGATTGAAAGGAATATAAAAGAAGATTTGAATGAGTGAAACTAAAATAAAATGAGATTAATCGTTCTAAACCTTCTTTGGGTTTCAAGGTATAGTCCACATATACACAGTTCACTTACAGTCTAGTCCCCCTAGACATTTATCCCTATTCCAATTTTACTCCAGTACACATCTATCCTTGTTTTCTTTCTCTCTAGTCCACTGTAACTCCAGAGTGTGAATTTAATGAATCTGAGTCGCGTCTCAAATGCGCCAAAAACCGGTTTCAATTAAGCGTCAGCTTAAATCTTGAAACATTGAATACAATTTAAAGTAAAACCAACCATATTTGAGCCGCGTCTCAAATTTAAGCTGCGGCTCAAATTCTTTAAATTCGGCCTCTGGTCACATACTTGTTTCCTTCCATCCTAGTCCAAATCTATCCGTGTTTCCTTCCATTCAGTCCACATCTATCCTTGTTTCCTTCCATCCTAGTCCACATCTTTCCTTGTTTCCTTCCATTCTAGTCCACATCTTTCCTTGTTTTCTTCCATCTTAGTCCACATCTTTCCTTGTTTTCTTCCATCCTAGTCCACATCTTTCCTTGTTTCCTTCTATCCTAGTCCACATCTATCCTTGTTTCCTTCTATCCTAGTTCACATCTTTCCTTGTTTCCTTCCATCCTACACATCTTTCCTTGTTTCCTTCCATCCTAGTACACATCTTTCCTTGTTTCCTTCTTCCTAGTCCACATCTATCCTAGTCCACATCTATCACTGTTTCCTTCCATCCTTTTCCACTTTCTCTCTGAGCCCATATCCCATGCTCTATAACCTCTTCTGGTCCTGTAAATAAATAATTTTGTGAGTTTAACTTTCATCGTAATGGACACTTAGATAAAAGCAATAAATAACATGCTTAGGCTCGGGTTTAAGATAAGTTTAAATTTAATCTTCACTTTCTTTCTGTCAGTTTTCCCTCGGACGGGTTCAATTTAAGTTTATAAATTTGATATTTTAAACTAATCCCCTCGGACTACTAGCTCTGTTCGCACCAGAGTATCGGAGATGGAATCCCAAGTTTCAATCTAATTAAGATGATCAAACCTGAACCTAGAAACACTCGGTTTACACAAATTAATCAACAACGTTCTAGAAATATCGGGTTGGATGTTCGAGTGACACGAAGCGCCCAGGGTTCAGGAGTCTGGAAGATCCAATCCCAGAGTTTAGATGGAAAGGAACTAGAAAGAGAAAACTGGTTTCTGAATGTTGATAAACCAATTATCAGGAAAAGTTTCACTTTGAACACTTTCAATTCATATTCAGTTAAATTTTTAAATATTTTCACGCATCATCAAAACTTTTAGAGCTTTTATTAAATTGAAATTTCCAACACGGTTCAGTGAGTTGAAAGGGCAAGATGATTCTCTAGGTTTAACCTCAGGAAGTAGTACACCTTCTCCGGAACCATTCGGAGAACTATTAGAGCCCGTTCTAATCCATTCTACAAGTGATTCAAGTACTTTTGTGAAAACTCCACAAAGTGAAAATATTCCTTCATCCATGGTTTCATCTTCCCAGGGATCTTCAAACCCTGTTGCTGGTCTAGACCAGGTTCCCCCTCATCTCATATCTCTCGCTTTAAATCCATATTTAAATTTGAATTCAAAGAATATCATTGATGCTGAGTTACTGGAGAATCACTTCCCATGGATTTTCTCTCAAACTAGAACCCGGAGTCGAGATAATATTCATCCAAGAAATAAAAAATCTACTTCCATCCTCTCAATCTTACAACCTGACTCCAGGTATAAATTTACACTGAGAATGGGGGTAGGTAGATAAATGTTCAGAGTAAGAAGGAAAAGGATATGATATGTATAAGGAGGCGCAATATTTGAGGTTAAAATTAATTACTCAATGAAGAAAATTATTATTTAAGGACAGGACAGGGATCAAAACAGAGTTCCGGACAAAAAACTCGAGAGTTTACAACTCCAAAAGATTCAAGGATATTAATCCTGAACAATTCTTCCTCGCCACAGTTCATTATACTACCTAGATCAGGAGAGGAAGGATTTAAAACTCAGGTACAACATTTTGGACCCCATCTTGTTTTGATAATAAATGAAAAATTCAAATTTGATAATCTTTAAAAAAAACTTTTGTTTTTGTAGGATACAGGAGAAGATGTCGTCCAAGTATCAAGATCTGAACTAGAAACCTTGCTCCGTGAACCTGAGCTTCTCGGATTAACGGAAGCTGAGCTGGACAGGAACCTGGAGGGTCACGAGTTCCTCCGACAGGTTCTTGGACTTCTAGACTCCGATGCAGAGGTAGGTCGTCTTTACTTCTCCGGAGCATAAATTTGAGAAAACCAGGAGAGAAAATATGCAAATAATGTTTTGCTCGGGAAAAAATTTAATATAAAAGAAATATTTGTGAAAAATCTATCCTGTATATTTCAGATATTCTCACAACACAATATATATATATATATAAACTGCTTTCTTCCAACATTTAAACTACATAATACATTTACCAAATTAAATCTCAGTAATGGATCTTAATCCTATTCCCACAATATGAAAACTGCAAACTCTTAACAGGATTATTAACGTCTCTCCGTCCTTCTTAATATCTATATTCTTCTACCAGTAACCTCTCCTACCCTGAACCTGAAACCAGATTAAACCCTCCTACCCCACCCTCCCTACACGCAACCTGTCATATATAATATTAATTACTCAAAGCATTATGAAATTATATATTACTTTATATTTATTCACCAAGTATAGAATAATTTCAGGCGAAACGAGTTGTTCTTTTGAGAGAGAATATACAGGAACAGTTAGCTTTAGCTCAAGCAGCTAAACTTCAGCAGGTCTCAGCTCAAAGGAACTGAGTTTTTGTCACAAACTCTACTTTTCTAATCTCTATATCTTAGCTACCTAATGTCGTAGACCTTTGATATTTCAAACTATGAATTCTGTTAGATCAAATAATCTAAGTTTGAAATATCAAAGGTTTACATCATCAGATTGTAAAGATATAGGGATTAGATAATTCGAGTTTGTGCCAAAAACTCAGTTCCTTTATTCCGGTTTTATAAAATGGGACAATTTAATTGGAATTGATTTCGGTTACTTATTAAACCTAAAGCTTTATTTGGTTACAAATCCTAAAGCGAAAATTCAGTCGATGGGAAAGATTTCTTTAGAGTTTTCATCTAGAATATCTGTGGTTACCTAAATATCTGCAAATGATAAAAATGGGAAGAGAAAGATCATAAAAGAAAGGTTTTCAAATTTCAAAACTTACTGATCAACGATTCTTTCAGATCTATAAATTGACGATGGAGTTATCTATTACTTATGCTGTTCGAACTATAATTGATATCTTATTAAAGGAGCTATACTCCAGTCGGTATATTAGAAAAACGTACAGAGTGTCCCACGAAACATGACACTAGAATGAAAGACTTGAATGTCGTCTTAGATCTTTGAAATAATTTGTAGCATTTATTAGTAAACCTAATTCTAGAATGGAGTTCATAATCGCAAAATACCCATAATCCTGGCATTTCCAAAATATGGTTTTTTTGTGTGCTTTATATATTACTGGAGAATAGATATGAAAAATTTTGTTCGGATATCTGCAATTTGGATTTTATTCAATAAATTAAATCTGAACCAAAATTCTTAGTACAGTGAAACCCTTAATAACGAATACATCGGAAGAAATTATCAAATATCGTCTTGACAATTTTTCAATCAGTTTTATACTATAATACGTAAATTTCAGTATTTGCGAAAATAAATAAATAGCCATGAATATGCGGGAAACAGTTTTAAAGAGCTCCATATAATTAAAAAACTAAATATCTGCAACATTCCATTATCAGAAAGTGAAGAATACGACATTTGATGAATTCTTTCGATGTATTCGTTATTGAGGGTTTCACTGTATCTCCGGTAATATTGACAGCACAAAATAGGCAAACCACATTTTGGAATTTGTGACTATTGTTTCAAGTATCATACGCATGTAAAAATAGATTTGTGGTCTTTCTAGTGTCATGTTTCGTGGGACACCCTGTATAATCAAGACTAATTAAACTTGCTTTACAATGTTCGCTTAGAAATATCCATGATATTATTATGTATTTGTGGTAAATCCATATATTTTGTGGTATATTTTATTCTAAAACATAATAGGAGGTAATTATCAGATAACATAATAAATTCCATGGTCTAAACAAGAACTGAATATCATTATTAAGCCATGTTATATAATTAAATCTTAAAGCAGTATTTTAAGATTTTAATATTAGAATATGTATTGTAGGAGAGCTTGAGATTGACAAACATTGGGATTGGGTTGCATAAGCAAGGACAGGTTTTAAACCAGCTGAGTCATGGTTCGGAAACTCTGACCAGAAACCTTGCCCCGAGAACAAGATTGACCGCCAAGACCCGGCGATTACTCAAGGTAGGTTCATAAATCTTAATCTTGGATTAGTCATCCCAGAACTTTTCAGTTGTGTAGTTTTTACTGTATCGCCCAGACATTGGGTAAATAAAGCAGACACTCCATAGGACTAAACGGTGCAACAAGGTTGACGTGGTTAGACTATAGGTTGAATTTACTTTTACTAACGGGTCAGGGGTGCGTGGTTAATGCATCTTGGGATCAAGCATTGATCTTCAAATAATGCAGATCTACGGATAAATTTTATTCCTCCTCATGATATCCTGTGTCGGTGTTCATACCCTGCAGGGATAACTTTAATTGAGGGATCAAGAACTTCATCTCAAAGTGCTCACATTTGATATCGAAATCAAGTGTTCAAAATATACAAATTTCCGAACTTAGGTTATATAAAGGATTGTAGGACGGGCTTATCGTAACATTAGTTAAAAGATAACTTTAAATAAAGTTTTCGAGTGTTAGATGAATAAACGTTGAATATTTATCATTACTTTTATTTTATTTTACGCTTTTTCTAAGTTTTTAAAATCCAAACCATTTTGAAAAGTTTGAAAAATAAGGACAAGTTTTCAATTTCTTTATATTGGAATTATTTTTACCAAGATTTCAAATACAGAGTACTATTGATGATAAGCTTTTCAAATTCAATTTCCGTTTCCCGTTTGAAGTCTTGCATTTCCATAGTAAACCTTAGAGACCAGTTCAGTGCTCCTGGTGGCAGGTTTAGCTGGGTCCAGCTCTCATGCATGCAGATAAACAGAATTAATTTATCAACAGGCTTACTCAGGTTCAAGGATGTAATACAAGGAAAGTTATTTCAGAAGTGTACACATCTTTTGTACTGCAGTGTACTGTCTCTGGGCGGTAATGTAAACACAAGACGGATGTCAAAGCCTGGCATGGGATCCATCTTTCACATAAAAAAATCAATGAAATATTCTGGTTATAGGAAATTATTATGTGAATTATCAAAATTATCAAAATTTAATGCTTTTAACCTCCTCGGATACTAAACGAACACTGATGCATCTATTATTGTTTACAAATTCCGCCCAAAGAGAACTGGTTTCAATATGTACGCAGGGTATACACCATCGCAATTAAATTTCCTTGCATTACACCCTTGCTCAGGTTTAGGTTTGAGAGATACATATTATATATTACATTCAAGATATCTGTTAAAAGTAACTACTTGTGATTAAGGTTTTCTGGATTGTTGCAAAGTTTCAGGTTTCTTTCTCTGAAATGGGGTTTCAGGTTTCCTTAACTGCAAAGGGATTACGGGTTTCCTTCACTGTAGTGGGGTTCAAGGTTTCCCTCCCAGTGGTGGGGTTTATGGGTTTATCACTGTAGTGGGGTTTCAGTTTTCTTTCACTTTAGAAGTGGTTTAAGGTTTCCTTCACTGTAGTGGGGTTTCAGGTTTCCTTAACTTTAGAAGGGGTTTCAGGTTTCCTTTACTGAAGTGGGGTTTCAGGTTTCCTTCACTGTAGTGGGGTTTCAGGTTTCCTTCACTGTAGTGGGGTTTCAGGTTTCCTTCACTGTAGTGGGGTTTCAGGTTTCCTTAACTGCATAATGGAGTTTTGGGTTTCCTTTCCAGTAGTGGGGTGTCAGGTTTCCTGCCTTGCAAAGGGGTTTCAGGTTTTCTTCCCTGTAGTGGGGTGTCAGGTGTTCTTCGCTGTAGAGAGGTTTTAAGTTCTCTTCACTGTAGTGGAGTTTCGGGTTTCCTTCCCAGTAGTGGGATGTCAGGTTTTGTTAATCTTAGTGGGGTTTCAAGTTTTCTCCCTCCGTAATGAGGTTTCAGGTTTCCTTTATTGTAGTGGGTCCGGGTTTCCCGTAGTGGGGTTTTGGTTGTTCTTTTTTATCATTTTTTTGTAAGAAGGTTTGGGTTCCTGTGTAGAGTAGGTTCGGGTTTTGTTTGTTAAAGAGAGTTTTTAATTATACTTGATTAGTATTTTTTGAAGAAAGAGCTGTGAAAACTCTAACTTTAAAACTGTTTTTAAACATTAACAAACTTTTCTTGACAGATAATTCAAAAAGTTTAGTAAAGTGAGTTTAAAAATCTAGATATACTTTAAGTCTCAGGTTTAATTAGACTAAGGATATTCCTTGGGTTTTAATTCTCCAGTTTTATCCCGTCACTTAATCTAGGTGCTGTGCAGAGCAGTATATTCGATATATTTCGAGTCTGGAGACTGCAAGGACGTTTTTAATAAACAAAGTATAATCATGTTTCTAGGAAAGATCTGAGTTGCAAAGAATGTTGAACCAACTAATCCTGGTTCTAAGAAGAGACAAGGAGTATGAAACCCTGAGGTATAAAATTATACTTGGAGAGGTTTCGTTACTTTTTATCCCAAGGAAATCCTTCCAAACAATTCTTTTAACAGAACTAAAAAGGCATTGAAAGTGATATAAATTATAAGTTAAACCAGATACGATACATTCCAGTATTTGTTTGTTGAAAAAGTAAAAAAAAATGCCAAATATATTAATATGATATGATTCAAGCATTCACCAATTTTACATGAGAAAGGTGCTAACAAAAACTTTAAATAACAAATTAATTATTTAAAGATTTATCTAACTTTATAATAAAAAATCTCCTAATATCTGAAATGCATATTTTGCAGCTTAAAATAATTCTCAATTTGTTGAGTGTAAACTACTGAATAGTAGATAACTAGAAGGAGAAAAAAGGATTTTATGCAAAGCCCCGGATTAAAGTATAAATAAATGCTTTGTCGATTTTGTACTTTTTTGATTTTTAAATACAATGTGAAATGTGTGAGCAGGTCTTTTTGCTAAAATTATTGATAATATTTGCCTAATAAAGAAACTACATGGTTGAATTGAATTATATCGACGGATTCTGTGATCTGAGACGGAACTCATTAATTTTACTCTAGGAATCTATTGAAATACCAAGAGAGACGGGTTCAGTCCGCATCCTAGTTTATGCCTGGAGATGAAAAACCATCAGACCTAAACATGAATTGGTTCAATCAATTGAAAATTTTCAATCGAGTCATTGACAAAAACTATTTCAATTGATCCTGATCACATAAATTCAATAGTTTAAAATCCTAGATAACGTATCTAGACTTAAAATCCTAGATAATGTTTCTAGGTTTGAAATCCTAGATAACGTATCTAGGTTTAAAATCCTAGATAATGTATCTAGGTTTAAAATCCTAGATAACGTATTTAGGTTTAAAATCCTAGATAACGTATCTAGGTTTAAAATCCTAGCTAACGTATCTAGGTTTAAAATCCTAGATAATGTTTCTAGGTTTGAAATCCTAGATAATGCATCTAGGTTTAAAATCCTAGATAACGTATCTAGGTTTAAAATCCTAAATAATGTATCTAGGTTGGACAGCCTAGATAACGTATCTAGGTTTAAAATCCTAGATAATGTATCTAGGTTTGAAATCCTAGATAATGTATCTGGATTTGAAATCCTAGATAATGTATCTAGGTTGGACAGCCTAGATAACGAATCTAGGTTTAAAATCCTAGATAATGTATCTAGGTTTGAAATCCTATATAATGTTTTTAGGTTGGACAGCCTAGATAACGTATCTAGGTTTAAAATCCTAGATAATGTATCTAGGTTTAAAATCATAGATAATGTATCTAGGTTTAAAATCCTAGATAATGTATCTAGGTTTAAAATCCTAGATAATGTATCTATGTTTGAAATCCTAGATAATGTATCTAGGTTTAAAATCCTAGATAATGTATCTATCTTTGAAATCCTAGATAATGTATCTAGGTTTAAAATCCTACATAATGTATCTATGTTTGAAATCCTAGATAATGTATCTAGGTTTAAAATCCTAGATAATGTATCTA